AAAAAAAAAAAAAAAAAAAAAGCAAAAAACCCCCAAAAACAAACAAACAAAAAAAACAAGACAAGGCCAGGGATTTAGCTTAGTGGTTCTGCCGCCTGCTTTGAAAGCACATGGACTCAAGTTCGAGCCCCAGTACAAAAAAACAAAAACAAAAACAAAAAAACAAAAATACAAAACAATCCAAGACAAACAAGCAAAACCAACCCCAAATTGTCTCCTTGAGACTTTGATCAAAGTCCTTGCCATCTTTCATTCCACGACAATGGTGGCAGAAAACACAAACAAATGTAGAGTTGTTGGCCAGATATCAGCTACCCCAGTTGAATTTTCTCAAATGGATAAAATTAAAATATAACCCTGCCTCATGGTGGGCCTGCGAGATGACAGAGAGAGTGTCATCCCTGAGGCCGAGTCCTCCTCCTGTCCCTGTCACCTGTGGTGTGAGCGAGGGCCACTCAGCAACAAGGAAGCTGTCTTCTCTCTTCACTGTGGCAGGGAAATTCCTGCGAATTCCTGTCCTCTACTTCAAAGGGACTGCAGTATAAACAGCTCCAACCTATAAAAAGCCATAAACGATGCCTTGTACTGGACACTAAGAACACAAACCTACACGTGATCTAATGAACCTGGAAGCAGGAAACTGATTTTTAAAAATGTTTTTAAAAAATATTTTCTAATTTTGAAATCAATATAGAGGTTAGGTACATGTTTATGAACCCAGCATTTGGGAGGCCGAGGCAGGAGGATCACCCTGAGTTCAAGGCCAGCCTGGGCTACATAGTGAAACTCTGCCTCAAAAAAACAAAAACAAAAAATTAAAAAGTTATCACAGAGCCCAGGAAATTATGAAGATGGGACAAAGTCCTAAGTTCATTTTGTCCCATTTTCCCAAGGGTTATATCTTTTATGGCTCCAGATAATTGTGTCTTTATATAGTTTCAAAATCAGGAAATTGACATGGGCAGTGTGAATATCTTTCTATGTCATTTTAACTCATGCGTAAATTTGTGTACCTATGACAGAATTAAGATCCAAACTAACTGGGCATGGTGGCACAAACCTGTAGTCCCAGACCTCTGGGTGGCTGAGGCAGGAGTACTGAAAGCTCGAGCCCTTCCTGGGCAACACAGAAAGACTCTGTCTCAAAAATTTATCTTGTCAGTCTTTTTTTTTCCCCCAGTACCATGGATCAAACTCAGGACCTTGTACGTGCAAGGCAGGCACTGTGCCACTGAGCTAAATCCCTGGTCTTTGTCTCATAATTTAAAAAGAGCTGGGAATGTAGCTCAGTTGTTTGTTTTGCTTTTTGAGTCAGGGTCTCCTTTGAGACAGGGTCTCACTATGTAGTCCAGGCTGTCTTTGCACTCAAGGGGATCCTCCTGCCTCAGCCTCCCTAGTGGGAGGATTACAGATGTGCACCACCATGCCCAGCTAAGGCTCAGGGTTTAATCCCTAGCACTAAAAACAAAGCAAACTGTTCCACCTCTACAGATCTCCCTTCTCCAACATCAGCATTAACGAGTCTTCATTTCTGTCATTTTAAAGAGACTGAGTTTTAGAAAAGGATTTATATTTATTTATTTAGTGGAAGTGGGGATTGAAGCCTGGGGCCTTGTGCCACAAGCAGGTCACATTTCTTTCCTGGGTTCTTGTCTAGAAGACAGAGTTGGACAGCATCGACCTTCGGCTCACATTCCCATGGGATGGCGTGATCTCAAAATTCCGCAGAGATTCTGAGAAGGGAAATGAGGTTTTATGGTGAAATAAAATCAGGAAATTCTGTTTTAAATAATGATAAGGCAGCTGCTTTGTTATGAATTCTCCGCTTTTTATGCACTTGGAGGAATTGTTGAGTCTTCTAAGCGTGAGATGTTTGTACCACATTTCCCAAATTTGAACACAGAATACTACTTTTGCTGCTTTCAAAATATATATGCTATTTTTATTCATTTACTTTTGATTTTTTGAGACAAGGTCTCACTATGTAGCCCAGGCTGGCCTCAAACTCACAGAGATCCTCCTGCCTCAGCCTCCCCAGTGCTGGAATCCCAGGTGTGGACCACCACACCTGGCAGCCACCAGAAGCCAGGACAGGACATGGAATGGATTCTCCCCCAGAGAATCCATCAGGAAGCAAACTGGCAGCCTGCAAGCCTCCAGAGCGATGAGAAGAAATTTCTGTCATCTTATACCACCCAGCTTACAGTTGTTTGTTGCTGTGACCTTAAGAAACCAGAGTGCCCTGTGTCAAAAATCTGGGGGATTTTGAAGCAAGGAGGGGTCTGGTAAATTCCTGCCACCACCACACTCCTCCTACCCTGGGGCCTTTGTACATTACAGCAGCCCCTCGGCCCGGTGTCTCTCTAGAGTCACGCATGGGCCACAGACCCACGTGCACGGCTGTTGCGTGGATGTGGGGCGTTCGCTGTGGCCCCTGCCCTGGCCCTGGGACAGCACTGTTACTCAGAAAGAGGAAGGAGGAGAAGGACGAAAGAAAGAGAAGAGCACAGAAACTCCTTTTGGACTGAGGGTCTGGCATCCAGATGCCGCAGGGTGGTGCCTGAGGGAGTGTGGTCAAGAGAGGGCACCGACCAGAAAACTGTACGCACAGGCACACAGGGCTCAGAGTCGTGCCATGAAGAAAATGACACAGGGCAGTGTCAGAGGCACTGCTTTCTGTGGGGTGGTCAGGGAGGGCTTCCTGGGGGAGGTGACAGCTGAGCTGAAGTCTAGGTGATGAAAAGATGGCAGCCTTGTGAAGGCCCAATGGGACAGAGTGTGTGTGTGTGTGTGTGTGTGTGTGTGTGTGTGTGTGTGTGTGTGCTCTCAAGTCAAAAAGGCCCTGAAGCCCCTGAGCCATGCTAAGGCCTGGGGCAGTCAAGGCAGGATGTCGGCTCTCAGAGATGCAGTAAGAAGGGAGAAGTTGGGTGTAGTAGCACATGCCTATAGTCCCAGCACTTTGGGAGGCTGAGGCAGAAGGATCGCTAAGAATTCAAGGCCGGCCTGCATTGTTGTGAGGCCTTGTCTCAAAAAATAAAAATAAAAAGAGCTCCTTGAGCACATTTCCATGGGTGAGCTGCAGGGCCAGGGTGAGACTACAGCGGAGGTGGAAACTCACTGTGGGGTTGGGACAGCCCAGGCTACAGGGTGGTGGCTTGGCATTGATTGTGACCATGAAATGGCAAGAAGTGGACCGGTGTCTGTCTTGGAGGTGGGATGGGCAGGATGGTGGGGCGAGAAATCAGAACCCTGTGACACCATGGGGGTGGGTCCGTCTGGCTGGTGGTAGGTGGCGCCATCTGTCTACGGTGGCCTTTAGTGAGCTTCCTGTCCCTGGGACTAAACATCCGGAGCACACAAGTTAAAGGGGGTTTACTGAGGCTCACGGTTTCAGAGTCTTCAGTCCCTGGTCCCTGGCTACAGGGCAGAAGCGCGGAGGTGGAGGGGTCAGAGGAAGCTGCTCGCCTCCTGGTAGCTGGAAGGAGAGGTGGAAAGAGCTGGAGAGGAAGAGGCAGCGACCAAAGTCCCCGAGACCATGGCCCACGACACACCCAGAAACGTGCTCTACTAATGTCGGAGGCATCTCCGAGATCAGTCAAGTAGACGTGGATGGTGGCGATTAACCAGTCAGGAGGTGGGGAGGAGGTGGGTGACACGGAGGACGGTGACCGGAGCGGCGTGGTCTAGATAATGTGGGCCTTGGCGATGTGGCCAGAGGAGGCCGCGCTGGAGACTAGAGTCCAACCACACGGCTGTGCTGCTTTTCGAGCGAATGTCAGATTCTGGAACCTGGGTCTGCGGCTTTGCCAGGTGAGGTCAGTGGGAAGAGGACGGGGCCAAGGTGTTGGGCCGTGGGGCAGGGACTGTCAGGAAAGCTCAAAGACAGGGCCCTTGCGAGCACCACAAAGAGGCGCGGAGGTCTCAGGGTGGCCGTGGTGGAGCGGGGAGCTCACAGGCGGGGCGGAGGGGACAGGAAAGGCTTTTGGAGTGGAACAGCCTCCCAGGATCCTCTCAGCGCCCCCCAGCATCAGAGTCTGAGAGTTCTGACCCACCAGGGCTGGAGGTGCTGACCTCTTTATTGTGCCAGTAGAGAAAATGATGCCCGGAGGTGGTCCCCGCAGGAAGTAGTGTCGGAAGCCGGACTCCTGAATCTGAATCCCAGCCAGAGGGGAAGATAGATCCTAGCCACTGTCACCAGGGCCCCCACCTCGCCCAGCAGCAGCAGCTTGGTGTCCTCCCTCTATCCCAGAGCCCCCTTTGCTGTGCTGTCCATTACTCGGGGAGCCCCTGGGATAGGGTGTCCACCCGCAGGCCCGGGGCTCCCTTTCCACACCGCCCGTTCATTCGTTCATCCCGTTGTGTACTCGCTTTCCCTCCCTTCCTCCTTGCTCTCCGGCCTCCCTCTCGTCCATCTTTCATTAGCACCAGCTGGGTTTGAACTGCCCAACCGACCTCCCTCGCTGGGAAACTGCCCGCCCACCCACCGAGCAGCTCCGTTTCTCCCATTCCGCCTGCACGCAGGGCCCATCACGAGCCCCGCCCAGGCCCGGCACACACCTTCACGTGTCCCTCACACGTCTGGCAGGCGTCCTGGCCTCCTCATGTCCACTTACTGGCCTAGCCCCTGCACCACACACATCATGTGCGTTCAACATGTCTAGGCCCTTGTAGCCTCTTCCTTCCCAACTGAAAATCACCAACTGCCGTTCACAGGATAAATCTTCATAAACTTCTAAAGCGAGTATAAACAAATCCCAGTAAATAAATCTCTCAAAATGGCAAAAGCAACACTTACTCATTTAAAAAACAATGGCAAAGCCCATACAATCAAAAATTCTGGGCTGGGGACTTAGCTCAGTGGTTCTGCAACCCGCTTTGTAAGCGCAAGGTCCCAAGTTCAATCCCCAGTACAAAAAAAAAAAAATCTCCACTTGGGAGGCTGAAGCAGGAAGATCTCAAGTTTGAGGCCATCTTGGACCACATAGGGAGTTCAAGGCCACCTTGAGCTATACAGAAAGACTGTCTTAAAATAACAAAAATGCCCTTACAAGCCTGGCATGGTGGCGCACGCCTATAATCTCATCACTCAGGAGGCTGAGGCAGGAGGATCAATGTGAGCTCAAGGCCAGCCTGGACCCTGTTCCAGAAAGAAATGTAAAAAACTGCCCTTACAGGTGGTGCCCCATCTCATTCTCTGGTGCCAAACTGTTCTGGGTAACGAGCATCATTTGATTCATATCCTTTTAGATGTCATCTCTATATTTGGAAAGAAAACACAAGTATGTAAAATTAAAAATGCAGGGCCGGAGATTTAGTTCAGTGGCGCTGAGCCTGCCTTGTGAGCTCAATGTCCTGAGTTCAATCCCCAGTACTACAAAAAAACAAAACAACAACAACAAATTTACAAACTGAGGCTACTCTTCTGCCCCTTACTTTTTCTTGGGGACAGTAAATGATGCTGCAGCCTGAGATCTGTTGTCCAGATGTTAGAAAACAACAACGTGAGGAAGAGAAGGAGAAAAGTGGATCCCTAGGACCCAGCAAGGATCTGAAGGGAGAACTGAAGCCCCCAGGGCGAGCCCAGAGAGACCTCGACATGGCAAGCACCGCTTTCTCCCGGAGCCCTGACTCACTGGAGACGGGGAGCTTGAACCTGCAGAAGCACAGTGATTGCTGGCAACTGGAGAGCCTCCAAGGAGAAACACACAGTGGAACAGAGCAGTGGACACACCCAGGACTGCAGTGGCTGGTGAGTATTTGGGCTCAGGTGTCCCCAGGAGAGGGTGACTGACCAGTTGCCGTCTTGGAGAGGGGCCAACTGAGCCCAGAACTCAGAACACCGGCTTCATCTGGTGGCTCTCAGTGTCGGGGTGAAGCAGAACCAAATTCAAGCTGGCAAGAGGTGCACAGAATGTTACAGGCTGAACAAATCGGGTTCCAGCCTCACAGCCAGAAACCAGTCTGAACTTCAGTGGAACTAAAGGACAAGTTTGCTGGGATTGTCCACTACGCTGCTATAAATCCACAGCTGGTTTGCTGAGATTAATCAACGTGGATCTGGGCTCTGTATGCCCACTCTTTCTACCAGTGACAGCAGAGACATGCCGTAATGTGGACAATGTTTTCTTATTTTTTCTTGTTTTGTTTTTTGAGACAGCGTCTCACTTTGTAGTTCAGGCTGGCCTTGAATTTGTGGAGATGGTCCTGCCTCAGCCTGTCTCTTATTTTTTTCTTTTTTGTTCTGTTTTACTTTTGTTGATCGTTTGTTCTTGTTTTTATATGAGTGTGAACATTGTTTTTAGGTTTTTGTTGTTGTTCTGTTCTTGTTTTTATTTCTTCCTTCTCTCTTTGCCCCAGGAATTATATAACAACAAAAAAATTACAAAATGAGAGGACACTTAAGCAAGATGTAGCCCCAGGCTTTCAGCTCACCAAAGGCAAACCCAGGGAGTAATGAGGTGGAACAATTTGAAAGCCACCTACCTGGACTCTCTGAAGTGTTAACAGTGGAAGTAACAAAGCTGACAAATGAAGCTCTCGGGAAAAAATGAAAGCAGAAATAGATTCTCAGATAGCTACAGAGATGGTGACCAGAATGAAAGATGGGCTTAGTGACTCTAGAGCAGATGCAGATTAAAAAAAAAATAGAGGAGTTTAGGAAAATGATGGAATCCACAGGAACATCCAACATAGGGAAGTATAATGGAATCCACGAAAGAGCTTCAAATAGACA